AACCGAACCTACGTCAGCTATGACAAAACGTATAGTTCTGCCATACATAAAGAACGTGTCAGAAATGACTGCCAGATTGTTCAAACAACATCATATCATGGTAGCCCACAAGCCAACCGATACTCTGAGGAAGACATTGTCAAAACCAAAAGGAAAACGAGAGACATTAGAACGACGGAATGTCGTATATAGAATAAACTGCGCAAACTGTGAAAAGCACTATGTGGGACAAACAGGAAGAAAGCTGTCCACCAGGATACATGAACACCAAAGCGCGTGCAAGAAGCATTACGCAACCTCATTGGTTTCAACACACGTGGATGAAGAGGGACAAAGGTTCGACTGGAACAAGGTAGAGATCTTGACCGGAGGAGAAACACAAAAAGGGAGGGAGTTTCTCGAAGCCTGGTTCTCAACCACGAACTCAATCAACATGCATATCGACCTCGATCCAATATATCAACCGCTGAGACAGCGAGATTTCAAGAGGATCAACAACCGTTGTCCGAATGAACCTAATGCAACACACGCACAATAAACAGCATGGGCAATATGAGCCCAGACTACTCACCCACATCTCCTGCACCAATCCGAGTGCGATAAGCCCAACCACATCGCAACAACATTTCCGCAGCCAATGATATTGACTCGATCACAACCGCTGAACACAAGGATTCACCAATGAGATCGAGGCAAAATTAATAGCCTCATATGCCTATATAAGGAACGGAGTAGTTACCGACAGTATCCATTATTGGGTTTGCTTTCTACCAGCTACTGCTACCTCACTGCTATCAATCCCGCGCTGAAGATGCCACCTCGGATGGTGGCGGAACGTCTGCAACCAAGTTGCCCAGCTCGGATAGCTCTACAACAACTGACCAAGACCTTCTAAGTAATTTGGCCGAACTTAGAGAACTCCATGCCTCACAACCGCGGGACCTCGTCATGATTACAAAGACATAGTTAAACCTTGAGATAACCGATTCTGAGGTCAATTTACCCGGTATGCCGCTGCTTCGGATGGATAGAACCGGAAGGGGTGGAGGTGTGATTCTTTATTATAATACAAACCTCCGATGTGAAGTTATCGATCACCCGGAAATCCGAGCTACTTCATCGCTTTGGTGCCGACTATGGTTGCGAAACAAGGACACATGTCCACTAACCGTGATTTACCGCCCACCACACTCAACGTCCGAAATGGACTCCAAACTGAACCACTTTTTTCAGTTTGCTTGGAACAAGTCCTACACCCACATTCTTATCGCTCGAGACTTTAACGTGCACGACAGAAACGCCAGCAACCGACGGTACGCAGTTTAAAGCCTGCTTGCAAGAGCTAATTGCTAGCCACGCTCTGTACAACCACGTAACCTCTCCCACCAGATTTCTAACTGCTAACAAGCCATCGATACTGGATTTTGTGTTCACAAACGAAGAACTCATGGTTGACGGGATAGTTACAAGCACACCACTGGGTCGTAGCGATCATGTTATTCTACTCTTTGACTATATATGCTATGCGGAGTACCCTGAAAAGGAGGTTGATAAAATACATACTGTCACGCACTACAATGTGTTATCTAAGCTTGTTAAGGATACATCTTGGACTTTCTTAACCGACTGCCTCCAAAATGTTGCTTGGGAAACCTTTACAACCTTTAAACTGGTAGCGCACGCATCGGAACAGAAGTTCTTCCAACCCAAAAACAAGTATAAGTCATTTCTGAGGAGCAGAACACGTAAATGTATGTCCCGGAGCAATTTGGCATGGCGAGATCACCAGGACTGCTCGAATGCCGAAACCTGGACTGCATACGTGACACATCGTAACTTCTGTGTGAAACTGATCCGCGAAGAGAAGGTCACGCATCAGCTGGAGTTAATGAAGCGATTCTGCACGAACCGCAAACTTCTGTACAGGCACGTTAACGGCCTTTGAAAGGTGAAGCGGGGAATTCCAGCACTATTCACGGCTGATGGGTGCACGCGATCAGCAATGGAAGCAGTTGATTTCCTACGGCTTTATTACTCCCAAACTTTCCAGCAGGTAACGATCTCAAATATTCTCCTGATTTCTATTACTCCACCATCGGGTTTAGACAACATCACCTTCACTACTGGAGCTGTGTTGAAGAAGTTGTTATCCTTGTGTATCCACAGTTCTCCCGGAGTCGAAAACATCCGATAAAATGCTCTGCACGCGTTAGCTGGTGATCTAACAGAGCGACTGGCTGTTTTCTATCAGCGATGTCTAGAAGAGAACGATATTCCACCAGTATGGAAACGAGGAGTCATCACTCCTATTCATAAAGGAGGTAATCGCACTGATCCATCCAACTACCGTCCAATAACCCTACTTCCCGTACTATCCAAAGTGATGGAATTAATCATCGCAGATGCGCTGATGCAGTATTTGGAGAGCCACAAGTTAATAGCTCCAGAGCAACAGGGCTTTCATCAAAAGCATTCGCGTAATACTAACCTATAAATTGCGCGTAATAGCTGAACTGAAGCTGTTGATGATGGAGTGGGAGTCGATGTCCTTTACCTGAACTTTTCAAAAGCATTTGATCGCTTAGACCATCACATTCTCCTTCAGAAGCTTCGGAACTACGGCATTGGCCACCCAATCCTGATTTGGATTAGCAATTTGTTACAAGAACTACGGCTAGTGGTGAGAGTCCGAGAATCATTGTCTAATGCAATCGATGTGGTGTATGGAGTACCACAAGGCTCAGTTCTTAGACCTAGTCTATTCTTGGTGTTCATTAATGATTTGGCGAGATCAATTGCTTCCGATTTCCTATTCTTCACTGATGATATCAAGATATGGCGAAGGATCAGTGGACCGGACAACCATGAACGGCTCCAGCACGATCTTAACACAGTGTCGAACTGGTCAGTTAAAAACGCCCTACCATTTAACGTAGACAAACGTCGCATTGTGCAATTACGCCATAGACATAACTACACACATATCCTTGGGACAAACGCATTGCAGACCTGCTCCCAGGAGCATGACCTTGGTGTGCTTGTACAGAGCGACCTCAACTGTCCAAAACGGGCTGAGGTAGCTGCGAAAAGAGGCAACCAGCAAGTCGGCAGCTGCGAAGGGCATTCGGGAGATTTGACCCATCAATCTTCTCAATGGTGCACAATTCCTACGTGCGCCCGCATGTTGAATACGCTATCCAAGCTTGGCAATCTTGGTTGAAGCGCGACCCAGAAGTGTTAGAAGCACCACAAAGAAGAGCAACAAAGAATGTAAAGGGCCTGCGCTATCACTCTTACCACCGAAGGCTGAACTTGCTGGGAATTTTCAGCGGACGTTATCGAAGGCTGCGCGGTGATCTCATATTAGCGTATCAAATATTAAGTGACCCCAACCATGTACGCCGCCATTTGCCGAAACTTAGCTACCACACGCAGCTCAGGGGTAACTGCTTAAAGTTGAAGGAACAATATAGCCGTCTAGAGTGTCGACGGAATTACTTTTCCCTTCGGGTTTGCAAACCTTGGAACGCACTCCCAGACTCAGTTGTATCCTCTCCTACCTTGGATGTTTTCAAAAAACGATTAGATGTTGCTCTTAGCTACCAACATTTTGTTACCTAAACTCCCCTACTGTGGATTACGCCAAGGATGCATTACAGCAGGATTTATGTATCAAACGGATCTAAGTGAGCGACCATATTTTACTTTGCTCACTCTTTACCTCAATGATCACTGCACCCCAGTGTCTTTCTGAACGTTTACGCTCCACTTTTTTATTTTATGCTGATGTTATTTATCAAAGTATTCACCTCGACAGACGTTCGGTAGATGACTCAGATATATTTTGATTTCATCATATTCACCCCAACTATCCTACGGGACGCACTTGCTTTTATCCCGTGACAAATCATTGTTTATTGTTCATTGACGGTATGGCGAATGTGCTATTTTACTTTCTTTCTGTCCACATCGTATGGAATGGGCTACTGGTTTTCACTCTTTCCTACGGAGCTACGGCAGCTAACTTGGGTATTACTGTTACAGCGAACAGTTATGTTCCTCTGAATAAATTATGCAACAGTGACTTCAACTGCCGACTTTTTCGTCAATTGGTCGGCCGCGTGTAAGTTTACAGCACTAATTTTGGCGAACAGCACCGGAAATCCAGAATTCAATTTTAAGCACCTTGCTTTAGTGAACGCGTCCAGTAAGTGCAGATGAAGTGTCGCACACCAAATGCGTTTGTGCCACGGTTTACCAGTTACTCTTTTAAGCAATCCTATTTGTGTGAAGCCCACTGCATTGGGTGAAACTGCTTACGTCAGGTAACCTAGCGATACCAAGTAGTTGATGAAATACGTCCGTTCTGGAGAAAATGGGGCATATCCGATTGCCACATGAAATAGAAACGTTTGAAAACGAAACCCGCTGGTCGGAAAGATAAACAGACTATTTGCATTCGACGTTGCCCACGTGTTTAGTCTACTATGAATTATTCTCATACGGCACACTTGCGTGCACGTTCAGTGGTTATTGGGTACCCTCTGCCCACGGGCCCTGCGAGGAACAAATCACGGGCGTGTACGATTGGCACGGAAGTGAACAGGCACGATAGCACACACAGCACGCGCATGTGACGGTTTCTGGGTCGCTCAGTCCTGTGCCTGGAACCAGTTGGGGCTCAGTGGATATTCGAAAGGATACAACACACTGAACCCATGCAATGTGTTTAAAATTGTGCTAAGTATACTTCATTACATGACAATATCAATGCGCGTTTAATCTGCTTACCGATTTTGCAGTCTGTGAGCATTAATCATAAAATGTTGGGTACAGAGGAGACCTAGAAACCGCTACTCTAAGAAATTTTACCCACACAACAACCGCACTCCTTCTCAACGGAATTACCTCTGCATACTAAGTTAACTCACTTGCCAATTTCGTTCGGATCAATAAACTTCGCGATTCCTGCTATCGGTGGAAGTATCGTTGGAACCGCTTCTCCTTATTAGTGGCAAAAAGTGCAAATTAGTACGATGGATGATGGTCAACGTGCTTTGGGGAGAAACTGGGTCAGTGATGTGGAACTAGACAGAACGAGCAGTTCAAAGCCACGTACTCACTTAAATTGCGTTCGTTGCTTCCACTGTCCAAGCAGTATCGGTCACGTGGGATCGCGCAGCACTCGGAACGACTTCTCGCCTCCGAAGTAAGTCACCAAGTAATCCGTTCACACAATCGGTGGAAAACGCATGCGTTGTTATGTAATGAACTGGGCTTTACACCTACGTAGAGATGCCACTAGCGCCACTAAATTTCTACTTACATCCACTCGTTAGGAATTCTTCCAGGGCGTTTTTGATAAAGTTTGCTTGATGAGGCAAAGTTTTCATGTCAACAGGTTTTTTTGCACACCGGATACAGTAAGTTGTTCTGAAGTTTATGTGTGAAATTTGGATGTCAGCTTTTACCTAATAAAGTCTTCTTTAATCTCAAGTGGTAATTACTACCCCATGTTATACGTGCCGGTCAGTGTATGTGGACAATCCCTCACGCGGACCACAGTAGACCTTATTGGCGATATTGTGACGCACCAAGAACGACAGAGTGCGGCTAATTCCTTGCAGTTATAGCGAAGACATGTAGCAACATGGGCCATGTTACAGACTACGGAGTGTGGGAGGTTGCGACATGAAGAACGTCGGTCGTGAAGATGGAAGTCAGTAAATGTAGGCGTGGAAGCGAGTCTGAGAAAGTGCCACTAGTTTAAACGTATTATCTGTTTGCGGGTATGGATGACATAAGTGCCAAAACAGAACACTAGTCTGATCATAAACCGCACTGAAAAAGTTGATGCTTTTTAACTTTGACAGCACCAATCCTTACGGGATAAAATTGTTAACGGTCTGCCAGCTGCGCGATTTGGTCAGATGTTGTACCAATCCATTAGGTGGTTAAACACCATTGAGCGCCCAGTTCGTTTCATTTTAAATGGATTGTTTCACTCCAATCAACTTTATGACATAAAACTTCTGTATCCTCAGTAAACATTCATTACCCATCTGCTGTCCAGACCATTGGGGATACTCAGTTAGCGGATTCAACGATGGTCGCATTTGCTTCAAGCCTCAGACTAGCGGTGTCCCCAGATGCTAAACACACAACTTTATCGAGGCTCGACTTACGTTGTGGACCTGGGTCATATCACTTAATTACTGAATTTTCTCTCTATTTACCCATTTATGCATTTGACTCAAGTAAAACCAGTAAAGCTATCCATCATTCTTGGCGGAGTTCACAGACCATGTTGGTCCTTTATGATACACTGCACCCGGCTAAAATAGTCAAAATGTGTTACAGTTATTTAATTCACGGCAAGAACCGTAACAACATGACCGTCGTGAGATGTGCAGCGTCCCACTATGTAACTTATTTTTTCGGTTCTGTTGTACGGCAATCGGGGATCTATTCCCACGTTGCACATGTCAATGGCTTTCATACCACTTTGGCTTCTTTTCCTTTCACATACAATTCGGCCCATTATGCATTCGCCAGGTTGACTATAAGACGTCACTGCACGGGTCTATGGTCGATCGTATCGATACTCAAAACCACAGTGAAAGGACTGCTCAATTGTGCTTATCGTTACAGTCGGTCCTTCACTACAAGTACCCATCGGTTGGAGCAATAACCGAGCACGACTAGGTGGCAGCAATGTATCGCATCCCGGGTGATCACTCATCGCAGTTCCGATTTTTGCGGTAGCCTTACACAGTGCAGCTTTGAATGCTATGATCATCTGAAAACGGCTCATCACAGGGCAATAGAATGCACGTCCGAGATAAAATTACGCCAAATGTCTATCGGCAGCCCGCATGTATCCTGCTTCTTACAATTCAACCATTATGCTCAAACTTGTTTCATGGTTTAGAGTCATTTACTTGGCCAATGTAATGTGAAGGAAAAGGCTGTTTATTCCATTTCTGTTTTTTAAAGCCCTTGATTGTGCGTCGTTTTGATCAAGTACGTTAATACAATTCGAACATCCCTAGTTGTCTCCTAACAACCTCTTACTTGGCATGGACAAATATGCAATCAGGTAGTCAACACTGAACCAACAACCCAAACGGATGCCGTACCATACGAAACACATTTAATCCTCGCGCTTTTTGTCCAGTCCCACGAATAATGAGGAACCCAACGAACCATTGTACATTCAATCCGACCTTTCTTCCACCATGTCATCAACTGGCATTCGAGTATGTGATCCCACCACTGAGCTTACTGCAGTATACAATGAGAAAGTACAAAATCTTCCCTGCCACGATATGTGCGCACTAATAGTGGAAATTTGTTTTTCTCCATGGCGCAATGCATTCCTTTCAGTGGCAGAAATATGAAAATTGCTTTCGCAAACCCCTTCACCCGGAACTCATGGTCAATGACTTGCACAGATGTGCTTACATACAATATATCCTTCTTTTAGTTTGTGATGGTATCGGACTTATCAATATGCGCGGCCTAGCTTCTAGGTAGACGAAACATGCCAAGCTTTGGAAGTCGAGTTTACAAGCTATGTCCAGTGTGCAACATCATGCTCGCAAGCGTAGCATTCCAATACGCGTGTGCCAGCCCAAAATTGTTTATTCGCCATAAAAACGACTCCAATGACCACTACTGAGTCCCCTGAAAGTCAACTAGGATCATCCATAGCAACCCAACCAATTGCGCAGGTTATATATAATTCGAACTCAATGTTTGCTTCCATTTGCGACGATGGACAAACGGAGAATCATCTCCGTTGTTGCACGCTCAACGCTACAATTCTGATTGGTTTCATGCTCCTTGGTCTAACTAAGGAGAAACAGACGGAGCTAGGAGGGAAGAGGGCACAAATTGGTTGACCTCTGACGCCCGGACCCCTAGGCAACGTTTGACACAGAAGTTGGCGCTCCGTTGATGAGTTCGCGAGTAAGGGTACCACTGTCGATTGCAGCGCGCATCCTGAACATGCGTTTAACTCTCCAAACTTCATCAATGAGGTGTCTTTCACCTCTATGTTGAGGCTATGTAATTATCCGCTACACCTGAAGCGTACGGTTTAGTGATCTCCAAACTGTTTTCAGAGCTAAGACAACGAGGGCTTCAAGGAAAATGGACTTTCTGCACACTTGTCGAGATGTTGGAGCCATCAGCAAGTTTATTGAAGAAGCAGCGACACAAGTTGTTCCAAAATAGTAATCACTAATTCAGCCTAGTAGATGAAGCCTACAAATCGCAGTTCTCAATGAAAGACTGGTCACGGAAACCAACCAACCTGTCGCAGCAAACAATGAAGGTGCTAGACGTTTGCCGGATTGTCATTCGTGCGCGAGATCTTGCCGTTTAGTGCCAGACGAAGTATCAATAATGACTACAAACGTACCAGCTCCAGCTCCAGCTTTGCTTAGTAATGCCTTCATATGTTCCCTCTTAGTTGTCAAACAGGTAAACGATTGCTTGGAACTATGCTGCAAAGACCAACGTTATCGGTTACTATTTTCGGTCGCACAAAGATTTGGCGCCTTTAAATCACTGCGTATAAAAGTTATTGATGTAACCGTCACCGTTAGTTCCGTGTTAAATGTCCGGCTGCACTGACCATGTGTTTTGAGAAAAGTTGGATGAACCTGAGAAATATAGACGCGGGAAGGAAGACGACCTTATCGTATTTGCTTGGAAAAGACGTTACTTCTACGAAGCACATCCTGAAATACGAGTGACAAGTTGTCCAATAGTTTGCCATCATTTTGGAAAGAAAAGTAATGTGCAATTTTGCCGGGTGCTTAAGCCTATCAAGTAAGACATGGATGAGAATAGAGAGGAAAGTGTCAAGTAACTGTACTTTCTACTGAATACATTTACTCAACATTCATTATCAAATTGTTCTTCTGCTAATTGTTTACTTGGTAATTTTTTCACTCATATGTCGACGTGTTCAGGCAGTGTAACGAGCTACCTATTCATCCGGTCACTTGAGTCATACAGAATGGTGTATTGGACCAATTTAGGTCCCGCTGCAGCTAGAATGCTCATTGACTAGTCGGACTGTCCTCATCCTTCAGCAGGAAGCTTAGAACTTTTATTGCATAAATAGTTTATCTAACCTATAGTTTAGGGTTCCTTGATCCTAGATTAAAGCTCCATGCATGTTTTCCCTAGTTTACCATCAGGAACAGGCAAAACACAGGTTGCGAATAGCGGTGCAGTTAGCAAGCGGCGCCAAGGTGATGTCACCTAAGCCGTTTCTTTGAACAGCTATGTAGAGTGCAGTGGTATTTTTCAGCGAAGCTTTTTTTCATATTGACGACATTTAAGATGAGCGGCTACAACACCAGTGCGAATCAAGTCGCTGCCATTTGCCATCAATGCCAGCAAATTTAGTGGTCATTTTAGATGGTCACTTTAATGTCGGATTTGGATCCAGAACGAAGTGACAGAAAGCACATTTTGTACTGGAACCTGACTACATAGACGCACCTTCGAGGTAGTAACGGGCGCTTGAACAGAATCACACCTACCGAAAGCGAAATCTGGCTTTGTGCTTCGCGTTTGGGATGCTTTCGAGTTGGTCCGCCACAATTTTTTTTCTCTGGAACTGCTAAAAATAAGCCTATGACACATGTGTCCCAGATACACGCCATTTAAAGGAATATTATAAGTCGTATGGTCCTTCTACCAATTATCACCTATCATCCTGTCAAAGAGTGTTGTTCACTATGCTTATCCTGTATCTAACCATTTTCGTATCAGACGTTTAGGAAATCTCAAGACACAGTTAGTGGGGTTCTGTTTAGAGAAAAAATGTTAGACTTCAAGCACGTGGTTGAAATCGGCTTACTGTTCAGCATTTCAGACTTCGAACAACAGTCCCTGAAGAGTCCTCCTTTCGCTTCATATACCTTTCTACACCCTAACTAAGAAGCACCTTCAGAGAAATGCAGGCTAATTTCCGATCCTGGGATCCTTAGTAAGAAAGTATAAGGATGGCACATCGCCTAAGCTATCGCAGCAGCTGCCTTATCAGTGATAGTCTTTTGGTAGTGTGAAATCTAAAAGTACTCTCAGCTACCCGAGACAACTGGGGAACCAGTAATTGAATTTATTTGTCACTGCGGATCCGGATTAACAAGAAATCCTTGGAGACTGCTTTTCACTGACGTCCAGGAA